TCTCTCTCTCTCTCTCTCTCTCTCTCTCTCTCTCTCTCTCTCTCTTCTCCCTCTCTTCTCTCTCTCTCTCTCTCTCTCTCTCTCTCTCTCTCTCTCCTCTCTCTCTCTCTCTCTCTCTCTCTCTCTCTCTCTCTCTCTCTCTCTCTCTCTCCCTTTCTCTCTTCCTGCTTCTCTTCCTCTCGTGCACCTGGCTCATCTAAACTTCTGAGATAGCGTCTGGTGCAAATTGTCATCCCGGAGTCCATCACTATGGGTGGAAGAGTGATCAGGGGGAGAGGGAAGGAGAAAAGGAAGGGTTAGCGAGAGAAGGAGGGAAGGAAGAGGAAGAGAAGAGGAGGGGAGGGAAGGAAGGTGGGAGGGAAGAGAGAGAGAAGGAGGGTGGGAAGAAAGAAAAGGAGGGAAGAGAGAGAGTGAGTGAGTGAGTGTATCTTTTTCATTTTTGATTTTTTTATCTTTCCCTTTTCCTTTGTAAATGATCAATTGTTAAACAAAGTTCCTTATTGTTATAATGTATTATTCCTTTCCTTTAACACCGAAAATCTTTTCTTTACTCTCCTCCATTTTCTCTCTCACTCGTTCTCATTCTCTCTCCTTCATATCTCTGGACACATCATTTACTTCTTTCCCTCTTCTCCCTTCCTTTCTCATCCCCTATCCCTGTTCCTTTCCTTTCTCATCCCCTATCCCTGTTCCCTTCCTTTCTCATCCCCTATCCCTTCTCCCTCTCATCCACGTTCCCACCTAGTCTCCTCTACTCTTCCTCTTCCATTCCCCCACTCTCTTTCTTCTCCTCTTTATTTTGTCATTTTTCATTCTTCTTTATTTCTTTCTTTCATATTCTCTCTCTCCCACTCCCTCTTTCCTTCTCCCTCTCCCTCTTCCTCCCCTCTCCTCTTCCTCTCCCTCCCTTTCCGTCTTCATCTCTCTCCCTCCCTCTCTTCCCTCTCCCTCCCTCTCTCCCCTCTCCCTCCTTCTCCCCTCTCCCACTCTCCCTCTTTCGAAATAAGTCTGCATTGCGAAGGAAATTGGATCCCCTGTTATAAACTTTATATTTGAATTTCGAATTTTCTGTCTGATGAATAAACTGTAATCAGATGTTCGTTTTTCTTGATGTTTATGTTATTGATATTTGACTTGTTTATTTTTTTTTATTGGAATGTTCTCTCGCTTGAACGGAGAAGAAAGACAAGTGGATAATAAGAGGAGAAGCGTAAGGGGGGCAAACTTTCTTTCTTTCTTTCTGTTTTTATTTTCTTTTCTTTTTTGTTTTTAGAGTTGGGAAATTTGGCTAAATGAATCCGTATCACTGACGATGAAAATTGTGGCGGGGGGAAAAGCAAGAGGAGTTTCAGTGGAATTATTTCGCTGTCTTTCCTTCTCTTCTCTCCTCTCCTCTTCTCTTTGCTCCTCTGCTCTCCTCTGCTCTCCTCTCCTCTCCTCTCCGCTCCGCTCCGCTCCTCTCCTCTCCTCTCCTCTCCTCTCCTCTCCTCTCCTCTCCTCTCCTCTCCTCTCCTCTCCTTTCCTCTCCTCTCCTCTCTCTCTCATACATCTGTCTCATAGCCCAGCCCTTCCCCTCCACCCGTGTCCCGCCCAGCGAAGGGAAAATCCTTTTCTGGAGAATCCCTTTTCCTCAGCCACGGGAGAGGCCTCGGCTTGGGTGCGCGTCGGTCGCCTCGCTGCATTTGCATCTCTTGCATTTGTTGATCTCGAGGCGGAGGAGAGAGGAGGGAAGGGGGGGGGGAATTGGAGGGCGAGGGGAGGAGGAGGAGAGAGGAGGGAAGAAGGGGGAATTGGAGGGCGAGGGAAGTGGAGGGAGGTTGGAGGTGGAGGGCGGGGGAGGAGAGGAGGGTGGGGAGGAGGGAGGAGGGAGGTGGAGGGCGGAGGAGGAGAGAAGGGGAAGGAGGGAGAAAGTTAGGGAGGGATGGAGGAAGGAAGGAAGGGAGAGAGGGAGGGAGGGAGAGATTGGACTCATAGGGAGACATTGATTTATTGGGAATTGCCTAACTTCCTTCCGCCAAGCCCTGGTTCGACTGCTTGTTTTGAGTTACTTTTTTGTGTTCGAAGCTTGTTCGGAACTCTGTCGTCTATTCGGAAGTTCCGTTCTCATTTATCTTTTTGACAGGAGTATTTGCGTTCCTTTCTTTCTTGTTTTCTTTCTTTTTCCTTTTTTTAACTTTCAGATTTGTCACGTTGACGGAATGACTATTGTATTCAAAATGTGCATTTGTTAACGAGCGCTTGTAATTGTTTGCCTTTTTATTTTGTATGGAAAGTGTTCGATGTTGGCCAAGTGACCTTTTTTTTTCTTCTTCTTTTGGGGCCTTGCTTCGATTAAAGGTTCCTCGATTGGGAATACACTCGATTTTATTTGTATGTTGTGTTTGATGTTTTGATTACGTGTTTGGCGGTGTTGGAGCGGACTGTGCGAGGTGTAGATCGATTTTCTTTCTCGTGGTTCATGTTGTTTGGTTTCTGAAATAATACGAGTCTTTGATGTGTCTTTCTTACTCAGTTTTCGGTTCTTCTCCTTTCTTATGACTGACCCTTTAACATAAGTCACTGACATGTCCTAACACTTGGTCTTTCGCTTACGTGAAGGCCCAGATAGTAGAGAGGAATTTAAGATGTGTAATAATAAGAAAAAGCATGGTTTCTCCTTTCAAAAAAAATGCGTTGTGGAAAGTTTATTTTTGGGGCCTTTTTTTTAATCTGCATTCTCTTCAGGTGTTTAAGCACTTTACATCTATGTAGTAACTTATATCTAGTCGACTTGGTACAGGTTTTACTAATGCATTTCTTTCAGATATTTCTTCAGGGTTCTTTTCTTATTGCTTGGTTAACATTCTTTGTTGATGTGCAAGATTAAACGTATGTGTCTTTTCTGGTTTATTATATTGTAGCCATGGGTTTCTCTGGGTTTCCCACACTTTAAGACTGTGTACTTCATATAGTAGGAGAGAAGTGTGTATTTAACTGGACTTTTGGGTTTCTGTATAATTTAGCATTATAAATTATATGTTTAGATGCGCGCGCGCGCCACACACACACACACACACACACACACACACACACACACACACACACACACACACACACACACACACACACACACACACACACACACACACACATGTTTGATACAATAGATTTATATATTTGAATTGGTTCGCAATCAAAATCTAAAGTCATAGACCAAACCCAAAAATCGAGGCAAATACCCTACCCCCTCCTCCCTCCCCACACCCCCCTGACTGAGTGTGGCCCCCCCCCCCCTTACTGGTGCATTTTGATTCAGTCCCTTGTCCCCCGCCCAGGCACCGGGAGCAAGCGGTCTTCCACGCACGGCAGTCCCTATGGTAAGAGGTCGGCGGCATGTGCACCCTGTATACATGCATGTGTAAATAATGTGGAATGATATTTTGTTTCTGTTTGTCTTTTCTTTTTTTTCGTTTCTTCGTTGCTGTCGGAGGAGGAGGAGGAGGAGGAGGAGGAGGAGGAGGAGGAGGAGGAGAGGAGGAAGGAGGAGGAGGAGGAGGAGGAGGAGGAGGAGGAGAGGAGGAGGAGGAGGTTGACGAATGGCGGTCTTCAGCAGGAGTTGCCTTTGCATGTGTTGATTTTTGCAATTGCTTTTGCACAGTGACTTTTTTCTTCTTTAAGCCGTTTCAGAACTGAGAAGTGACATTTTTATTATGTGATTTGTATTTGTGTTTTGACGCGATTTCGCTGCTTTGTAGATTTTCTTTGATAGGAGTGAATTAAGAATTAGCGATGAGATGTTTTAAGGTTCCGAAGAATGTGTAGTTGCTTGTTCGTGCTGGAAGAAAATCTGATCTTTCGACAAGTACTTCTTTCTTAATGCATGCGCAGATGAGCACCGTGGAATTACGAATAAAAGATCGTATTTCGCAGTTTTATTGGCATGGCGTCTAGGTAGAAAAGTTTGTTTTGATTAGTTGGCAAGTTGGTTTGATCAGCGGCGGGTTGTAAGTGCGGTTTGACGGAGAGTAATGTAGATTTTCTCTATTTGAATATTATAGATAGTCTCTTGCGTTGGCTTATTGTGTTCCAAAAGCGAGTTTCATCGTGTTTTTCTTTTTCTTTCTTTCCCTCTTTGTCTCTTTCTTTCTTTCTCTCTTTGTCTCTTTCTTCTTTTCTTTCTCCCTTTGTCTTTTTCATTCTTTCTCTGTCTCTTTCTTTCTTTCTCTCTTTGTCTCTTTCTCTCTTTCTCCTTTTGTCTCTTTCTTTCTCCCTTTGTCTCTTTCTTTCTCTGACTCTTTCTTTCTTTCTTTCTTTCTTCCCCTGCTCTCTGATTTCGGATTCCGCTGGACGGATGCCGACGATGGCGCTGCATGAATTTGGCGCCAGAAGGTGTCGTACGTTTTGGCTTTAAAAAAAATCGCGGATGGCTTCCTTGCAGTATTGTATTCTGTCGTATGAATTGGCGAAAGTTTCGTACATTTGCTTGGCTTATATATTTTATTTTCAGAGATGATGCTGTTTTTTTCATATTCTCTCCACTGCTGTTAGATTCTATTGCAAATCTTTATCTCAGTATTGTATCCACTTTGAGTTAAATCACAGAATTTTGATCTTGCTTTTCATCGGGATCTTGTTCTCTGTCCCGTTCAGTACTTCATGACAACATTCACCAGAAATAATCGTAACGCCCTTTCTAAAAAAAAAGAAAAGAAAAGATATAAATATAATAGTAATAATAGTGATGTTAATTATGATAATATTGATAATAATAATAATAATAATAATAATAATAATAATAGTAACGATAAAAATAAAGATAATGAAAATAATAATGATAATGATAATAAACAACAAAAATCGTCGGTAGATAACTCGGAGTCGTGTTATCTTCCCGCCAATTCCGCGAGTCCCGAAACTCGTTGCAGACAGGCAGGAAAGGTCTGGTTTCCTGTCGGTCCTTCAGGATGACAGTAAATAATGTTGGAAAGTAAAGCTAATCGCGATTCCCCCCCCCTCCCTAGGCGGCGACCCCCCCGACCTGCTGGACGTGGCGGCGACGACGGAGGGCGAGGCCATGCCCGTCATCCGCAAGAAGGAGCGCGACTACATGGGCATGTTCGAGTACGACCGCCGCGAGGAGATGCAGATCATCCGGGTCTTGATCTACGGTATGTGCGCGTGTGTGTATGTCTGTGTATTTATGTATCTATATGTGTT